ATGATGATGGTGCGTCGAATAGTAGCCACACTTCTAGTACTGACCAGCAAGAACCAGCTTCAAAGAAGCGCAATCGATCCCCAAACCCTTATGTCCGTCATCCGGGACTTAGGCAGAGGCACACAGTCCCTCAAGCCTCGTGTAGCCACGCTTCCAATCCACCAGCAAGACTTGAGAGTAACACCACCACAGGGCCCAGTAACAGTGTCAACTCAGCTCAAAAGGTGGCACAAAGACAAACCAGCCTTGTGACCCAAGTCCGAGAAATACTTGCGGGTAACACTAACAGGTCCGCAGGAGAGAGTACTGCTGACGAACTAGCTCGAAGGGTAGCACAAGAATACACCAGGCTTCAGCGCTCGCAAGCTTTAAGGGTACCAGCAAGTTACATAAAACCGATGATAAAGATCATGAGGCTGCAGCCATCAGACAACATCTCCACTAGTACTGCCTCCTCAAGCAGAGCATCTGCATCAGCCAGTTCCAATAACACTGCACAGCCTGAAGCAGTAAGAGCTGGCCCATCCTCCTCAGCCAATGGTGATGATGATACTATACAACTTGTCAGGAACCTCAGGAGAGCATATGCATCTACAGCAACATCTGCATCAACCAGTTCCAATAACACTGCGCAGCCTGACGCAGTAAGAGATGGTCCATCCTCCTCAGCCAATGGTGAGAATGACAGAGGATCTGGCAAGAAGTTTAACAGAGCATCTGCATCTATGTCAATATCTGCATCTATGTCGACTACATCAACCAGTCCCAACAACACTTGGCAGCCTGCCGCAGTAAGAGCTGGTCCATCCTTCTCAGTCAGTGTTGGGGATGTCAGACAACTTGTCAGGAACCTCAGGAGAGCATCTGCATTTACCTCAACATCTGTATCAGCCAGTTCCAATAACACTGTGTGGCCTGAAGCAGCAAGAGCTGGTCCATCCTCCTCAGTCAGTGGTGATGATGATACTATACAACTTGTCAGGAACCTCAGGAGAGCATCTGCATCTATCTCAACATCGACATCTGCATCAACCAGTTCCAATAACACTGCGCAGCTTGAAGCAGTAAGAGCTGGTCCATCCTCCTCACTCTCAGCCAATGGTGATGATGATACTATACAACTTGTCAGGAACTTGAGGAGAGCATCTGCATCTATCTCAACATCAACATCTGCATCAACCAATTCCAATAACACTGCACAGCCTGAAGCAGTAAGAGCCGGTCCATCCTCTTCAGCTAAAGATGAGGATGACAGACGACCTGTCAAGAAGCTAAAGCTGGCTCATAAAGAGCATTCGATTGTTCACAACAAAGGTGAAGCTACTGATGATGATGATGATGATAACTAGCGTGTTCAGATGCAGTTTCCAAACAAAATAACGTGGTCATCAAGTTTGTGTAACAGGCCTCCAACATGTACAAAAGTCTTACACTAAAGTTTTACAATTTGTAAGACAGTGTCACTGTATGATCTTAATACAATATATTTTGAGGTTTGCAAATTCATAAGAACTTGAAATGTTGCTTGCTAGGATTATGGATAAGCAAACAAGATTTAAATTGATAGATTCAATGATGACAAAATGATGGAACAACTAATATTATTCCAAAGTTAAGCATCAATAGTTGATGTCTGCTGGTGAATATTTGTGGTTGCCATGAAGTGAAAGCATGGTATGGTTTTTTCAAGTAACACTATGAATCCGAATTAAATTTTTTAAAGTAACACTATGGCATGGAATTTTTTTGACCTAACAGCCATGGCATGAATTTTTTAAAGTAACAAACATCATGCTGGTACAGATTTTTCAAATGTGACACCATGGCATTATTTTCTAGTGACACCATAGCATGGATTTTTTCAAGTGCCAACATGACATGGCTTTTTTTAAGTATTACAATGTCATGGATATGACATCATGACACAAACTTTTTTCCATTAGCAGCATGGCATAGATTATCACAAAGCCTTCAAGTCTGTTGTAGGCTTGTGATTGGACTATGTCATTTTTGGCAAAAGTTCTAGAACTAGAGGTTTGAAGGAATTGAGTTGTTTCTTTGCATTTTGTGCATACGTATCATATTCAGTGTTGCTAGCTTGAGTGTTCATTGAGTAGTGAAAATCTAGAATTGATATTTAACAAAAACATGAAATATAAAAAGATATTGTACCCTGAAGAATACCTCTGTAGAATAGATTGTT